CATCAATGAGGCGGTAAGTGAAGGCGTATCGCTGAGCAGTTTGGGGATCATGTTGACGAATGTCATCAATAAAGCGTGCTTCATCCCAATAGAGCGTTAGATTGGAGATTTCTGGGCCAGCATTAGTTCCCATTGGAATACCAATGATTTGCTTTCGAAGAGTGCCATCTTTAGTGTACAGAAAAGTGTTTTCTACAACAAAGCGAAGATGTTGGAGAATCTGAGAAACGGAAAGGATGTCTGGTCCTGAATCGGTTGTCCATTGGTTAGAGCAAGGCCTGCGAATAAACATGTTCAAGGCTCTGCAGCGCGAATGCATGCGGGTATGCTGAAGAGCATAAGCATGAGCTTCATCAACAGCCTTTGCCACATTATTCAAAATGCGGTCATAAGGAAGGTTGGTGTACATTGTGGTGAAATCAAYCGTGCGAGGAGAGAGGCCACGTAGAGAGGACACATTGTTTTTCAGGTCAATCGCCACCTCATCGGCACTCTGGACGATCCAGCACCGTCAATCACCTTCCTGTTGATAGAGCTCAGTGTCTTTCTCACGAAGAGTAGAGATCACGCCTTGCAAAGCAGTGCTGAGACAGGACGAAGTAGCCGTTGTGCTAGCCAAGGGTTTGTGAGGAGGCCGTTCATGAATGGTGCGAATTGAAGGACGAGAGCGAGTGCGTGTGGGGACAGGACAAGTATTCTGAGTTGTGACTCCAAGAATGTTGCGAAGAGCTGGAGAAGACTTGTGGGCTTTCAACACATAGTATAGGTAAGGCAGGGTATCAGTGTGGGTATAACCCCAATGGTGATTCCATAGTGCATGGTGGTTGAGCACATCAGCGACGGATTCATGAGGACGAGTATAAGTGGGACTGTCCAAATGGGTAGAGAGGTGAAACAAATACCAATTCTTGCAACAAATTGCCAAATTGTGGGATGATTTGTCCACAGGRACAATGGCAAAGTGTTGTTGCAGATGGCGTAAGGAGGCATGTGCACAACGAAGTGAATGTTGYTGGCTCACATGATTGGAAGACGAAGTCGCATTGGATTGACAATGCCCAAGGATTGCAGAACGCCAGCTGTGCAATTTATGAGAAAGGGACGAGAAAGAAGCAGATCGAGAGTGTCTAGAAAATGTATTCTTTTAACTGGCAATGTACTCATCGAGTCCGATCGCCAGTGCTTGGAGCACATCAGCAGTCTCCCCGTTCAAACGATATTTAGATACTTCTTCAAAAAACTTGCGAAGGTTATCGTCTGAGATGATATTGTAATCAACAGAGACAACATGGCCGTCCACAAGATCTGAACAATGCGGAAAGGCCCTGCCGCATTCGCAGTTCAAGGAGACTGGTAAGGTCACGTCAGGAGCAACACTCAATGCCACATCAGTAAAGTTGCAAAATTGGACACGTGTGGGTGGCATCAACTTGTCACATACACGAACATGTGCGGCCGCTTGCGGGTCAGGGTGCAATGCAGCTACTTCTGGCAACTGCAACACATGGCGCAAGTTCGTGGCACGAACTACCTCATGCACATGTATGACCTTAATATGGTCAGTAAACGGGTCACGAGGTTGTGTTGTGTAACGTTGGCGGGTATGCTGGGATTTTCGGATGAGGCATTCGARTTCTCGAATGTCTGCTGTCATGTCCGCATTGGAAACATTGTTATAAAGCCATTGCAAAAGTCGTGCCCGCCACGCTGGTTGTGCCCGCTCAATGTCAGCCTTGACACGACACCAGTTACCCGAAGCAGCTTCATGAAGAAGGCGATGGAGTGAGGTACGAATTATGAGTTGGGGACCTGGACAAAGATCAATAGCAAATGATGGAGGCGAAGGCGTTGGGAGGAGAGGCAAAGGCCGAGACGGTGTTGGCAAAAGAGGTGCAACATGGGAGCCAGCGGGTGTCGGCAAAAGGGGTGATGTGTGAGGAGGATTAGCTGATGCAGGAATAGGTGGAGCAGGTGAGGGCTGAGCAAAAGGGGGTGTTGGCAAAAGGGGTGATGTGTGAGGAGGATTAGCTGATGCAGGAATAGGTGGAGCAGGTGAGGGCTGAGCAAAAG